CTAATGGTTATGACACTCACCTTGACAGCAAGAGGTCGCAGGTTAGAGTCCCGCCAGAGGCATTTTATTACACAATTTCTTTATTCGTTTATTTACAGGACTACATTCGTTGCGAGCTATGCTACACGATGTATTATTATGTCCTTTATTCGAACACTGTATTTACCTTTCTTTGATGATTTATATATATTATTTAACAGTGTTATAATATTATCAGTAGTCGAATAGGAACATGTTTTAATAATCGTATCAAGCATAGCTTACCAACGAAAAGTTTCTAAATGGTTCTTATTCAAGTACTGACATTAATATATTAATATTTATCTACATATATATATATATATATATATATGTACATATATATTTATATATTATACATATGTACATATATACATTCTATAAATCAACAGCGTTAACGGTAATCTTGATTTATATTATATGCAATTGTTTGTTTCTAGCCGTACCTATTGTGTAATTAATAGAATGTATCTGGTGGTATTTGAATCTGTTTAACCATGAAGGCTCTGTGGGCTAATGGTTATGACGCTCGCCTTGACAGCGAGAGGTTGCAGGTTAGAATCCCATCGGAGGCATTTTACTGCACGATTTCTCAGTTATTTATAGGACTACATTAGTTGAGAGCTATGCTACACGATGTAATATTATGTCCGTTATTCGAACACTGCATTTACCTTTCTTTAGCCACAACGATATAGGCCTACGTATATACACAATAATAATAATAATAATAATAATAATAATAATAATAATAATAATAATAATAATAAATTAATTAACACTCGGCAGCTAACTACAACTGCTCATAAAATAGTATAAATCAGTTTACCAATTTACATGGCTTCTATTCATGCCTACTGTATTTTTATAACATGCTTGAGAAGATCAAATCAGTTCCATCAAACAAATCTGAAAGGACATTGAAAGGAAGTAAATCTTCACATGAATGCGAGTGTTCAGGTCACTTATTTGATTACAAATTCTTCAAATTATTGTTATTTTGTATCGTTGTTTATTCGTACCTCGTAGAGAATACAATCATATAAAAACTACCATGTACAGACAGTATTAGTTGTCCGTTTGTCTTTTAATTACGCTCAAGGACACGCCATCTATAGTTTTAGCTTGGTGTGAGGACCTGGCAAAATAATTTGACCTCTAAGGCGAGGTCATCTTTGTCGAAGGACATTGACTATTATCGCCCTCATTCCATAGAGTAAGGAATTGTTTTACGGGCACGTTCATGTTCGAATACAGTGTTACATAACGCGATAAAAAAAAAAACGGTGAATGTGATTTTCCATTTACACTTCTTTTAATTAGAACACATTTTATAAGAACACTGAGACTGAAATTGCTATAAAAATAAGAACGAATTGAGGTCGAGGTAAAATGTCTAATGATCTACACCATGGAAGTGCTTAAAACCAATAAAGAAAACCAGTAAAATTCTTTTGTGTCTTATCCGTACATATGTTGTAGGTGTAACTATGTAGGCCTACCCTCGATAATACAGTGTAGTAATATATGTACTGCTAATACTGTACTGATAATACATACTGCAAGTATATCGAAATGCACGCCATCGTGTCGGGATTCAATATTTCGACATTATGTCATCATCATCAGGTAATATACTGCTGTACAATAATAATTTTTTAGATTGTGTAAAATAAATGTGTAGGCCTAAGAGCAAAATGAGCCTGAAATTGGCGAAAAAATAAGAATACCGAGCCTTTTGCAAAATTTTACTGATTCTTTATATTTTAAAAAAATGCATTTTATTTTGAAAAACTAGAAAAAGCAACAAATGAAGCTAGCCACAGAGTATAATAGGTCTATTTTAAAAGGGTTATACCTTATGTGCAATAGGTGCGACTATGTACCTCTATAATACAATACAGTAATACACTGCTGTACAATGATAATTTTCTATCTTTGAAAAATATATAACATAAGTACAAAATAAGAACAATTTGAGCCTGGGTAGGGTTTACGGATTCTTGTTTAAAAAAAAAAGAGTGTTAAGCAGTTTTTATACTAAGGTTAATGAGATACAGATTTTTGAATATTTAAAAACTGGGGTGGGGGAGAAGTGTAACCACCCCTTTTCCACCTCAAATAAAGGCTACACTGAATATTTCTTTTTTTAAATGTAACAAAACTAGACAAATTTGGTACTTTGCCTTAATAAGCAAATTTTAAGTCAGTTTGACGTTTTTCTTTTAATTTTTATTTCACCGATGGTAACCTACCTATTTTAAATTGATTATATCATTTGGAGACCAACAGTTGTTGTATCTGTTATAGGTTATCTATGGTTATAGATATCAAAATAACAACCTATTGTCAATCTGTAATAAACACATTGATACTTAATTGCAGTTTTGTTTTTCAAAATGTACATTTTCGGCAACCACTTCGCCAACGTCTTAGCAGAAAACACGATCCATGACAGTGTAAAATAAAACAATACAGTATTGTACATTAATAAAAGTAAGTTTCAGGTGCTCGGATATGTTTCAATGCGTTTCTCATCGAATTTAATATTGCAAATTAAAAAATATTGTTATATTTGGTTTAATAATACTACTTAGACTCAGCAATTAATAAAACCACGGAGGTTTACATTTTTTCTAGTTTTATAAGCCTACTCATGGAGGTATTATAACTCTGTGATGAATCGAACAAAATAATAAGCATACAAAAGTTACACAAATTTATTTAATTAACAAAAGTACCGTATGTTGTGATAATACAAAATAGTACTGTATAGTAAAATCCTAAATCCTTAGAATATTATTTTTTTTCGTATGTCAAATTGCATTAAGCAACTTTAATTTATAAATGTTTTCATGAGTGTTTTACGTGTATCTAACAGATACACATATACATATTATGTATATAGCATATTATGTATGTATATATATATATACATATATATACACACATATATACACATTATATATATATATACATACATATACATACATATATATATAATCCTGCATACATATACATATATATATATATATACTGTATATATATATATTTATATATATATATATATATATATACATACATAATGTGAATCACACAAATAATTAAAATAATCTTAAAGTTGTATAGTTAGGGCGAATTCAGTTTCATGAAGTCATAATATTATTGTTATTGATACTGATCTGTTCTGCTCTTTAGAATTTTGTCGTTGCCAAATAGATGTTGAATAAAATGTAATTCTCCGTCTCCTGAACAAGATCCTGATTTAAATAAATGTAGAGTACTGTAAAGTAAATCTAAATGTTTTCAAGGGCCATCAAGGTCTTTAATGATTAGTAACTTTGAATCATGATCTCTAAATTAATTAACAAGAATTTGGTAAACTCAACGACTTTCAATCAGTCTATTAAAATAACCACGTGTTGTAGTCCTAAAACATAGTCCCAAATGCCGTAAAAGGAAGTACTCTACTGTAATTTGATAAGCTATCAATGTACTTAACATTAAATAATTGTTGTTACCAGAATTTATAATAAATTATCAACCAGCAGCATAATTAGCAATACTGTACTGTACTTATAAACGAACATATTATTATACAAATACTAATTTAAAATAATATCCCTGTCGGTTTACTTTTTGTATTTACTTATTAAAAACGTTGCGCCAGATTGCATATTACACATTTTGTAACTTGTAGTCAGTTATTATGGCGTCCACATTATTAGCTCAAAACTTAAATACAACTGCAGCACTTCCGTAGTTAATTAATCTATTGCTTATAATAAACCCGTAATTATGGCATGCCACCAATGGAAGCATAAACATTTCTTAATGTACTACCTGGAAAATTGTCAATTTCAATCATTGATTTTTGTAAAAAATTCAAATCTACGTTTCATGCAAAGAATTTTAAAATAAACGGACAAAAAATCTACACTTTTATATACATGCATGTCATCAGTAAGTTTCAATCCGAAAGATAAGGTGTACCACAGGATTCTGTCAAAGGGATGTATTATAATTATAAACCCAATAGAAAGGGAATAGAAGGCATAAAAGTCATGCTGTTGCTTATCGTCTGCACCAATATCCGAGTTCTGTTAATAAAACTAAAAAATGTAGACAATTTAAAATAGTACGTTTTTTTTATATGCCTAGACATTTGACACAGAATGTGTACAAGGAACTAAGAGAATGCGTATCTGAGATTTTCTCAACATTTTGTAGTAGTACTGGTGATCTCGTCTGTCAACCTTAACGACCTAAAGCATGCATCTCTACTTACTATTACTGTACTAATAATAGTTAAAACCTATTTACTAATACGACTACCCAATAACATGCACCTTAAATACTTTGGCCTAAAACACAATTGTCTGTCTAAAAAAATTGCATAAGCTTATCTAATGCTTTTATCGGATACCTGAAAACGCTACACAAGTTATAAAAAAAAAACTTGCTTTGCGATAAAATCCCATGACATATAACATTTGACTCTTTTCTCATGGTTTGCATCTCTTGTAAATGTGTAAAAAAAAACTTGATATAGGCCTATTCATAAATATTTTGTCCCTTCCATTCAAAATTCAAAAACTAAATCTAAATTACATTTTTGATGGAAATTAAGAAATATCATGCAATTCTGAATAGGATATAAAATAGACTTCGTTCACAACAATCGAAATGTATATTGTTACCCAGGGCCGGCCCGGCCCCGCCCCCCCCCCTTTTGGGAGCTAAAAAAAGAAGAAAGAAAAAGAAAAAAATGATAGCCCACAACACCTCAAATGTTATTTTCGGGCTCTAGAACACAAAAATTTCGCGGGGGCATGCCCCGGACCCCCTAGGACATTGTTGTCTCGATCGGCCCGAATTTCGGCGCCCCCCCCCTTTCGGCCCCCCTTTTGGACATCTCTGGATCCGCCCCTGTTACCCGTGTTAGTATTTCCAATAAAAGAACTGAAGGATCAGGTATCTAATAAAAATTATTATTAGTATTCATTTGGCATCAGATATAAACTACTAAAGCCCCGTTCAAACTATCAAATCTTGTTTGACAAAAACATATGACATGCCTAAATAATAGAATCATGACAACAACACATCATGGCCATATATAGGCACATCATGACTACTGTATATATGGGCATACATCCGTTTTTGTTTGTCAATGAAAATTTGACAGTTTGGACAGAGCTTTCGATTGAATAGGGATCAGATAATTATAATCATTTAAAAAATAAAGCACATTTGATTGAACCAACGACTATGTGCCTACGGATGACCACAACTGATAGAAAATTCATTGTGGTTACTGCAAGCATGGAGGTGTATTAACAATACAGTACCTTCATGTTGCAAGCATGTGAGGAATCCAGGCACATATGATTCATCTGTAATCAAATAAAGCAGCATTAGCGTATTTAGCATAAACATTTTTATGAGAATTTGTAGTTTATTTACGTTTATTGATAATAATACTCAATTGTAAGCTTTATCGTCTTCAGAAATTACAACTTCAGAGAAACAAATTACAGTAAGATCTATTATTATAAAATTTCGAACCACTAAATCCATGGACCCAGAGATTATAAATCAATATTTATCAAATTATTTGTAAAAATTAAACTCCTCAGATTAATATGACTAATGGGTTGAATAGCAAGAACCGGGATTAGTTTTTTTTGTATTCATTCAGAGGAAGGTACATTTTTTTTTTATAAATTACAATAAATTAAAAAATGGGGATACAAAGGCCCCTACAGCTGCAATGACATTTCAGATGCATAATCTAGTTTTTCAGATAAACATTTGTTTGAGTTTCTTCACTTCAATATTCATACTAAAAGTACACTACGGTACATCCTATCAGTGAGCACGTAGTTAAGAAGCTTCTCACCGCTCAGCAGACAATCCTACGACAAGAACTCATTTTATATTCATTAAAAAAATTAATATAATTGTAAGCCAGCCAAAAATATATGAAGAGAGCTCCTTAAGTCATGAACAGTTCTGTTTTAATACATGAATCTGTCACTTATCCCATAAAGAGAATCAGTGGCTTAAAATACTCTTCCAAAAGTAAATAACCAAATTTGCCATAAAATATGTTTGGAAAAACTACAATAATTGGTAACAACATACAGTATATCTATTTTTTTTATTCTAAAGAGTTAAATTGTGATACATATTAGCGAGTTCAATTATCATTGATGAAATTCGAAGATCCTATTGTTTGTAAGATTACCAAATTATCATTGAAAAATAAACCATATTCCACCAGAATTAGTGGAACTGTGTGAGTCCTGATTACAAATGATGCAAGTATAAAGTAATGTTTCCAGGGGGAAAATATTACCATGAACTTAAATAGTTTAATAGTTGTTTTATTTGCAAAATTGTTAATCAAATCTGTGACGTCATTATGTACTCTTGGAGAAATTTGAAGATGTAGTTGCTTCATTACCTCTGCATTGAGGAACAGAAATTGCAGTAGCTTGAACTTGGCACACATGGGTGATTGCTTTGAAAAGTAGCGGGATACTATCTACAGAAATTTCATTGAATTTGCGCGCGAGAATACGCACGTCAGGCAGCAACATCATGAGTTCTCTAAAGCGTCCTGCCTGGGCTTTATTATTCAGCTGCGAATGATCGTGAAGTAGGAAGCAGTAGTGTTTACTCATTTCTTCTATTGCTGTTGGATCTGATAAACTATCTATTTCTATAATAAAATAGTAAAAAAGTACAAAAGTCAAGAATAACAGATAAGAATTATGGAATACTATATGTTAATATAAAATACCGTTATACTTTGTATTGTTGATGATTTTTAAAAATGAATATATAATTTACGATATAATTTATAATGTACCTGGATTGAGGAAGTTGATCGTCTTGAGGCAAACGAATTCTCCTAAATTGACGCCCATGTTTCGATACCGAGCCGCTGTGGTGGTCATGCTGTCAATAATTTCTATACCGGTTTGGCCAAATCTACGAAGTTCATCTTCGCTTGGAAAATAATTTTCTAGAATGCGGCTAAGGCCAACAAAGACATTTTTTGGATGAGACTGAAGTGCCCCAAGAACCAAACTTTCTGCCCAAGTATTGCTTATCATTAGGGTTAAATCAGTGATCGGAATCTTGTTAGAGTAGGGTACACTCTTGGCCCACAGAATTTCAGAATGCAGGGTTTGATCCATTATCTTACAAAGTAACCCAAATAAACAATTGTAGTCAACATTTGTTTGTGATGTGAATTCGTAAGGCAGTTGAAGTTGCTGCTCCGTCTCAATGATAATTAATTTCTCGACTTCTGGAAGAAGAGAACTGTTACTACTGGGGTACCAGGTAGCTCGACGTAAATCGGCTTCTAGAGGCTGCCCATCCTGGCGATCAGAATCACTTGAATTTACACTGCCATTTGAACTAGGAGAAGACTGCTCAGAAAAGCCGTCACTTCTTGACGGGCTCAATGCAGCTACTTCAGCGTTTTCTACTCTATCATAATCTTCACCAGACATTATCCGTTCAATTTCGTCAGCTGATAACTAGATTAAAGTAAAAATGGAAATAAGTGTATTTTGTTTTCATTTTAAAAGTTTAGTAATCATTATATCCTGTTATAATAAATAAAATAATTAAAATAGTTTAGATAATATCTGCCTATTCGGTTATCTTTTCAGGGGCTAAGATGTATACTACTGAAAATGGCTAATATTGGTAATGAAAATTTCAAAACACGTTTTCACAATAAAAAATACTTCAAAATATTTTTTTTAAAGTAAGACTATATTAGAGCCTAACAAATCTGTGGTAAAGGTATTATTTTTTATCTACACATTAGCTCTTCAAACGTATGTATAGTGCTATGAACTTTATGTAATGTATCAGATAGTCGTAAGTTTAAAGAAAGATATCAAGCACAAGTAACCCCAACAAAGAAGATACGAACTACAAAATAACAATAGATAACAGTGACAAAAGAAATAAGAAGTAAATGAACAAAAATTGGAGAAGGACAATCATAAGCCTTAACGGACTTTTGAACAAGATCTAAATAGACTAAATGTTTTTGTGCCGAAAATGAAAATCTCGTATTTGATTTATTAAAGGTCGTTTAAATAGAAGTGATATAATTAAAATACTAATAATAAGATGTAATAATGACAAAAATTTAAAAAAAGTTTAATTAAGATTGTGTTTGTGGAGTTAGGTGATTCGGTCATTTGCTGAGACCTGTCAAAAACATGATGAATCGTTATTGATTTCCTTTGGTTATCTTTTGTAAAATCTGTCCTAATACACGAACTGAGATTTTAAATTTTAACCATATTTTGGGTGAAGGTAAAAAATTGAACTCTTCAATGCTATATTCTTTTGAGTGGAGCGTAATAACGGTAATGTATTCGTTGTATAAAACACGAATTTTCAAAATTATAAATTGGAACAAGTTATTACAATTCCACCAATTATTTTTTTAGTTACATGTATTTTCTTTCAAGGTATCCTTGTGTTAGAAACAACAGAGAAATAGAGATATTGTTACGGCCTTCATTTTTTAAGTTACTTTTGATTGGCTATTTCAAAACGGAAGACTTTACCTCTCTTTTTGCGATACACAACCTTGGATAACTACTACGCATTGCAAATTATAATTTCGTCTATTGACACCTGAATGATGTTCACCTTGATGTTATGTAATATGTAACCTTGGTGTGAGATTGTGGAGCCTAAGATATTAGATGATATTAATAGTGATGAGAAATGAGTCAGTAGTGTGTTTGTTTGCCGAATATGAGGCTTTGGTACGATCAAGGCTGTAAGCCTGTGGTCAAATAATAGACCCTGGACACTACAAGGCTATTTTGTGCTTGGACTTCAATTTATCTGGCACTAACACAGGGTCACATCAGGATTATCATTTAATTATAGTTATTTTCAATCGTCTGACATTATAATTGACTTTCAATAACCTACGCGAATTTGGTAGCCGCAAAGAGCCAATAAAAATGTTCAATAATTTGACAGATCAATAAAAATGGTTGAAAGTTTATGCACATTCGCGTTATTACTTATTCGTTTAATATTTTACATAAAATTACTGTACAAATGAAATATACAGTAATTGTAAATGAGTTTTTTCCTTAGAATGTGGGCCTAGGAAAGCTTTTAATCCACAAGATATCGAAATATTGAATACCTATATATTAACATGTCCGTTATGTACATCTATAAAGAGTATACACAAGCAACACAAGATAACTGATGGAACGAATCGTTCAGAACATAATAAAGTAACGGCAGGTGCTCTATTAACAGCATTTATATTATATCAAACTGACTGACACACTATAAATTCCATTTTAAATCTTAAACAAAATATTTCAGCAACAGGCATACTTAGTTACTCTGAATCTATTGTATTTTGATGTTAACGCGTGTAAGAACATATTTGCTGTAAAGACCATGAGATGATGCACTTCATAGAAAAAGTGTTAAAAGTAAGGCCAGGGAACACCTCTTCATATCGACCTTTTAGCAGAAGGCTAGCAGCTCCATCTCGGTCTGATTACTTATGTTGCATAAGGTTAAGGTAGTTACAGTTGCTAGGCTATGTGGGCCATGGTCTAGCGCGAACAATGCCACTCAGCAGTGATACAGTAGACAGCCTTGCAAAGGCTGAGAAAGCGCAAGTTTGACCTAGGTCTAGTGTATGAGGGGATATATTGAACAGTCGGAGGCAGATGAAGAGACGTCCCCCAAGCTAGAGGTCAAAGGGTAGTCCCAACCTCCACTGAAGTGGGTCAAACGGTTTCCCCAACCTTCTAAGAGGTCGATTGTGTACTATTAAGTTACATAATAGAAATAAAATTCAAGTTAATAACATCGAGGCAAGAGCATTTAAGGTTAGGAATAACGTTAATTATAAAAATATAATATTGGAGTAACTCTATGATACTAGCTATGGATTCCGAATTATATGGACTACTACTACCATTACAACCACTAGTACTATAATAATACTTAAAGATTTATAAAGTACTAACAATAATAAATTACACAGTAAATGGTGGTAACTCATTTCGTGCAGTTCATTATTCAATAAATTTATATTAAAATACTTTACAGATTTACGAATAATTTGTCAGATGCTGTTCAGTGCTCATACTCTAAGCAATACACATAAAACAATAACTAAAACAACTTTTTGTACTGCATACGTCACAACAAAGTATAATGTTGATATTATTTATAGACAAAGCGAATTATTTTTCCAATTACTTTTTTACCATATTATATAAGTTTGAAAAACAGAATAAAAGCCAGACAGAATTTAGGTCTATTGATCTTTTTCAAAGAACATAATTAATTAGACGTTAAGTAGTAAGTCATACTAAATTCGGTATGTCGGTAAAGGTTAAATGTAAATTTGTATTTCAATTTACTTATGAACATTTTTCATTACAATTTCATCTCGCTCACAATAAAATCGGCAACAAAATTTAATTAACGGGATGATATCTCGAACAAAATTTACATTTCGAAGACTAACACTATGACCTCGCGAAAAGAATCGAATATAATTGCACATGCGCAGTTAATGTTATTTTCGCACAAACAGCGCAGCCTTGGGATATCTTTCAAGATAATCGCATCAATTTGAGAATGTAAACAATGCAAGACTTGACCATGGGCAAAATCTGACCATTCATGTCACTGCACAGAATTGACCATTCCCTTGAACTAGCTAAAAAGACTTTACATTCAAACATCTGTATGATGGCCATGATTTGGAGTTATTGCACAACTGATACTTGAATAACAAAACTCCATGCAATTAGTGCTCAAGGTTAATAAATGGAAATTATATATAATGACAACTGATTTTACGGAATTTCAACAGAACCTTGATTCTAGATTTGGTATTTTTAAATAATTTAAAACTTTTCAAGTATACAGAAACAATTTATTTATCAAACCCCAACGAATAAAATACATAATTTCACAGATAACGGTCGGTAACGAGTGAATATTTAATTTAATTTACACATACTGTATTTGGAAAGTTTTGGATTACTTATCTACGTACAAAGTACGCTAAATAATATGAGTGACAGTAAAGCATAAAAAAGTATTATACGTATTATTTTTCTAAGTGCCTAGATTATCAAAACACCATGGAATCGACTACAAATATATTTTCCCCATCAAGGATATTTTGAAAAGTGGAGGACGAGCCATTACTTCCTTTGTTCACAAAGATAGTATTAACGCACACCCATTCATATTAGGCCTAAAGCCAGACTTTCTGTAAGCACACACAATATTCAATATTTCTCAAATTTGTTTAAAGGTTATTTTGAATTGCGACCGTCAATATATGGACCAGAGAAGGGGACAAAAAAGTGTTGTATTTTACTATTTGGTCCCTCCTTTATTGTAAATTGACAATAAAACACTACTATTGAGATACATTTGAAAAACATGTGCACTTTCAACAAGATGCCATGTTATCGTTAGAATGCCTATCCGTATTGATTAATTTCTAGTATTTTGAGCCATTTGTATTTTTTGTGGAATTACTTATTTCTTTGATCTATATTATTTTGGTTTACCTTCTTGTATATTTCTGTTTATTCTTATCTCGACAAATTTATATATACTTCTAAATTATGTTATGTAATATAATGTAAAATTTATTGAAATACTTTGGACAATAACACTAGTGACATGATCGTTTCCTCTCTACCTCTCTGTTTCATAGATTAGAATGCATTGGTTGAACTACTACCCCTTATTTCGGCAGTATATAAATACAGAGCGCTTCTGATTCTACATCGTCTATTTGCATTAAGTTAACGAAATCCGAAGTTAAATGCGTTGTAGAATGACATTTATATTTCAATTAATTCGATTGAAGTATTGTACGAAGTCAATAATTTACAAGATTCATGTTGCACAGCGCCAGCACAAGTCATGTCGATTCTGTTTCCTAAAGAGGGCAGCAAAGCAGTTGAAAGTCAGTCTCGTATCCAAAAATCACGATAGGAGGTAGTACATATCTTTACATATAGATCAGCAACCTTCTAATTTGGTACATGTTATAAAAATATATTACTTTATGCAGAACGCCCGTTATGCACAATGATTATTAAGTTTTAAGGCCCGATGAGACAATGTCAAATTATAAGTTTGCTGAACTTTATCTAAAGATCTGTACTGCCCCTGTTTAAGAATTCACAATCGTGTTTTTTTCTTTTACATAAATGCTGCCCTTTCATATGAGTTTACAGTGCTTTGCTGCCCCCTTTAGGAAACGGAATCAACTTGACTAGTGCTGGCGCTGTGCACAGTGAATAAAGCAATAGAGCTAAGGGTAGAGAACAGTGTTTTATTTTTACTAAGAAAATTTAATATTTTTGTGATAGAGGAAGAAGTAACAAAGTATATTTCAGTCCATTTAAGTAAGCAAAACTCAACGAAGTGCACATAAGATTGTTAATTGACTGTTATTTGCTATAAACATTGGTTCAGAATTGTTTATTTGTGATTTGCGTTGCCATTGATCTTAGCTAATTAATAAAGCTAGATCACCGATCTACTGATAACACCGGTCGACTGAGGGCGTATTTTTCTAATATTAATTTTAATAATTAACACAAATAATTACAATAAACAATGGTTTATAAATTACATGCGAAAAACACGGTTTTTTTCAATTTTTTATGTATTTTCAGGAAGCTTGGGTAATTTTGGGCAATTTTTGCTAAATCTTGGGTAATTTCGACCCATTCATTGGGTATATCAAAAATTGTGAGTGGTCACGCTGGTAGAGAATTTTTCACACAGCTTCAAATAAGGACTCGACGCATGACCTGGTGTTTCTTTCCCTGGGTTGAACACAGTGACAAGGGGGAGGGAAACACAGTGACGGGGAGGGGGGGAAGAAACCCCTAAATTGTCAACATTTGCAGGGGATTCGACCCAGGACCACTTTCGACAATTTTGAGCGACGCCCACTTTGCTCTTGTGACATCGGCCCACATGTCGGGCAAACCACAGCGTAGGCCTCTCTAAATTGCATCGTGCGGGACGGTTCTGCATTTTAAAATGACTTTGGCTGAAACACGCATTTTGCGGAAACACATGACACATGTGTGATCATAGATTTATCACGCATTTAGCACAAGTATGCGTGTAACGAATTATCACGAATTCAGGGAAAATGTATTTAAAATACACTGACGCTTTACTAAAATTTTATCAGTATGCCTATGCCTTGGAATATTATTTTTTTGTTTGTTTGAGTAATAAAAAATGATTGTGTACATAGGTGCTCAAATTAAACATAGGGCTACATTGAAACTCAAATTGTAAATAGCTTTATTAAAATATTATGTTTATGTATCGTCGGGCCCAACCAGGGCTTGAATCCAGCCAAGGCTTCGCTCCTGCACCCAGGTGGGGGCCCTGGCGATCCCTGCTCCTACAATTTAACTGGTGTAGTCACTCACGCATTTTTCAGGTTGGTAACTATGACAGACTCGAGAAGTTTCCAGGGGATTAGAATAGTATAAAGTTTCACATTTTGTGGAAGGGATAGAAAATGCCATTTGATGATACTAAATTTGAAATATAACGGGTTATTTTTATTTCAAAGAAGTACTGGGTTTTTTTTTTCAGTAGAAGCTGTGTTAAAATATTTTATATCCTATTAATGTTACATTGACGTTTCGGAAGTGCACTGTATGCGTTTGTCGTATTAAAGTCAAAACCTAAATAAACTATTTAAAACGATCGAAAAGGGACGTATAAGATCAGTACATACCTTAACAGGTCCAATGCTTTTATTCCGCCCGCCTGGCATTCCATCTTCTCTTATTGCTACAAATAAAACAATAACAATCATATACATATATATCATATTGTGCAAATGAATAAAGTTTTTAATTATACCAGCTTTAATTTCAAACACAACATGAATATTCATTCCCATGCATCTGAAAAGAAGTTTCCAACTCAAAAGAGGAAATAGTTTTTACAGTACAGACGTGCTATAATTTGTGACCTACGGTAATCATTCAGCTAGTTGTGCGTGGTTTAGGGTTTGACGATTCAATTTTACTTAAATTTGGGTTCAATGCAATCAAAGGTATCAACGCCTTTATGTTTATTATCCATAAGCAACTTAAGTTTCCAACTCGTCCGGGGGTATGCGGCTTATAATTCAGGGATATAAATTAGGGATTGCAAATAGAACGTGGTCTACCTATGGTTACACTCATGGGCGTCGATCGGTGGGCACGTCTCCCACACTTTTTGAAGATATCATCATATCAATTGTCCAACCTCCACTTTTCACCGATCCTCCTTAATTAAAACCCCAAAAGAATGGTAAGAATAATAATTACGCATGACTGTCATGAATTTTGTCTGTTCACTTTCCCAAGCGCGGTGCGTATTTCCGGATCAAAACCGAGTAACAACGCAATTGTTAGTACATTTCGTAATCATTTCATCAGTAACCGCTACATCGATTTTATGGGTGCAAACGGTTATCAGAGGCTAAATTTATTGGGAAAACAATGTACTGTACGTTGTTAAAATTGGAAGCGAGTAAACTTATTAAGCTTTGTCTACACTATCAAATTTCATCAAAAAGCGTCACATAAAATTTGATGGAACATAGAGTTGAACATGTTCAACTTTATTTGATACAATTTGATGGTATGTGATATGATGTCATCGTACCCATATATGGGCACATCACATTTTTTGTCACATGAAATTTGATAGTGTAGACAGAGCTTTAGGCCAATTTTTTTTAAAAACACAAAAGTGCACAATTTCTACTATAAACGATTTATTCCTTTTGTATTTTATTATGACCCGTACGTATACTAGTGTTTAATGTTATCTGCATACATAGATAGCTGTTATTAAACAGTAATTATACAGCCGTTGACAGGGACAGGTCTAAATAGTGATACCACAATCTCGCAATGATGTCATAATAACCAGTGGCGGATTCAAGCGGGGCCGACGAGCTGATTAAGACAAAGATTAGGGACTGGAACCCAGTCTACCCCAAGCATGGTGGTGCGGAGGTGGTCTAGTTTCCGAATTGTGAAAGTCCCTCCCTGTCCCCCTCAATTTCGCTTTCCTGGATCCGCCACTGATAATGATAAATGAAGTGAGTCACCTTTATGTTTGTGAAATCAAAATGCTAACTAATGTTTTGTGTGCTTCCTCTCTCCCTAGTCCTGACGGTAGTATTTCCACTCACAATAGTGTAGTCGCAATATACTTGCACAAAAGTGAAATTCAAAAAGAGGAGAAAAGGAAAAACCTCTTGATTAATTTCAAAAGTACTTTACATGCAGGGAGACTAAATTAATGACTGTTTTAATTTTATCATATTTGTTTTTCATGGTTTAAATACGTCACAAGCTAATCAGTAGATAATAAATCATTATTTTTATGAATGTTATTTTGCACGAAATATATATGCGGACATAATTAGGATTACCAGGATAATTTTAAAAACTTTTTATGAGTATTTCAGGGTCCAGTCGTCCCACCCTCCCTATCTTTTTCTTTCAAAAGGTAAAAGTAGAGAAAAATGAAAATTATATTCAAATTGAATCTGAGAGTGCCGTTTCCGGTCAACTAGAGGTGCCATAATCATAAATTTTCTTACCTCAGCCCCAACCATGGTGGGGCTGAGGTGGTCTACACGCTCCATCTGTATTAGTCCGTGAACCCAAACTCTATTTCAAATTCCTGGATTCAGCACTGTATTTTAAAAATGTAGTGTGGAAATACATGCTAATTGCATTCATTAAAATCAATTAGATACGACTTATAAAAGGCTATAGGCGCCAGAGCTTCCGGGGTTTTTGCTCCTGGACCCCCGGGGCCCTAGGCCCTGGTCCCCAACGAAGGCTTAGGCCTACGGCCCAATGTTTTATTTTGCATTTCGTTTCCCCCCCCCCCTCTTATACACATCTAGATGTGTATAAGAGACAGACATTACATACACCTGAATGCGTCCAAGGTGTGACCAATCCAATTTGGATTTCAACAATTGAATAAACTATTAAATAGTCTTACCTTTTCTGTTCATCCCGACCTGTAGGCATTTAATTAATCTGCAATATTGGCATCGATTTCGCTTCTGCCTCGACATCATACAGTTCTTGTCGCGCAGACACCTGTAGACGCGTTTGTTGCAAATGCTTCTCTTGAAGAAGCCTTTGCAGCCTTCGCACGATACGATTCCATAGTGCAGTCCAGTAGCTCTATCTCCACAGATCAGACACGTCTTTGTTTCTTCGTTCTTTGGCAGATAGTCCTTGTAATAAGTTGCTAATGGAATTTAAAGAACATAATTAGAACTAGAAATTGCAAATTGAAAGTGAAGTGCTGCGAAGTACAACTGCATATAAATGTTCTTCGAACAAAATTATTTATGCGAGTCAAGTGAAAATAATGAATAATAAAACTATAACAAATAATATGAGACACGACCCATTGTCTATATTAGAACACTTCTCATTGGGTAACAAAGTCGTAATTTTTCATTTTTGTCAAAAAGTGTCTATAGTGGTGAATTATGGTTTAGGGTTTTTTTTAAATAAAGTTTCAAAAATTTCTATGTATGTGGAAAATGTAGTTGATTACCAAAGGTTACAATTTTTATTTTGAAGACTGCATGGTCTAGGAAGTGTACATTTTTTTATGGGGCAAGTTTCCAAGGGCGGGTTTTCTAGGGCCGAGTTGACTGACAAAGAGTGTTGCCAAAGTGCGAGCCAGCGTGTTATTTGATCACAAGTGCGAGACATATCACAAGTGTGAGCCAGCGAGCCATGACGTCACGACAATAGATAGAGACGTTAGCCAGTTGTGCGAGGTATCGGCTGAGATAAAAAACAACTATAGGTCTAATAATGAATTATTGTGATGTTAAATAGACAATGTTAGCTATCAAAGAGCGACGTTGTTTTTCATTGGGACCTTCGTATTCAAGGCTAGGCCTATACCATCCTAGCTAGTCTATGCCTAGAGTAGGATAAGGCTAGCGCGACTTGCGGACGTTGGTACGAGTTGGTTAGTCTACAAACTTCGCATAAAGTAATTGATACCCGGCAGAACGAAAGAAGGAAACTCCGCTTTTCAGTCGTCATAGGCACTCGTTTTTTGACAAACAATGACCTTTCAGAGGTCAAATTGCTGTCAAGAATATGAATTGGCTGCTTCGCAGCAATTAATATATTTTGAGATTTGATATAACGTAAATAGGATTGGAAGTTTGGGAGGGGGAAATATAGGATAAAGCATAATAGTTTGAAAGTAATTACTCTATGTTGGTGATTCGCTTGTATGATACCTCCATGGGTATGACGCATCCATGAGTCTATTTCACGTTGTTTCATTTGCAACTAGCATTTTGGAACTCGCAATTTATCATTTCCGAACTTGCAACTTTACATTTTTTAATTCTAAATAGACATTTTCCAACTTGCAATTTTTCCCAGCCACATTTCCGGACCCGAAATTTATCGCACTGAAGTAAAAGACCTGACTATCGTTTGCAGACGTTAAGTTTAGGTAGGCCTATTATGTTACCCCCCTTCATACATTTAAACTACCGAAATTTTGAGGTCAATGTTATTATTATGATTATGATTATTATTATGATTATGATTATTATTATGATTATGATTATTATTATTATTATTTATTAGGCCCTATTGTTATTACTAATATCATGATTGTGTGCCCTTTTGTTTTCTTGGCTTGTTTGTATTTTATGTGTTATGAGACCCTTTTTGTAGTTCGCTGTTGGGAATCCTATCTCGGTTGTTCTTGTTTGTTAATAATTGTTTTTTTTTCCGAGACGAATAAAGGAAATAAAATGAAATAAAAACGATTCTTCTACGTTTACCACATCGGCCTTCATTGCGGTACCGTACAGTACCAATGTTTACATTACGGAATAGTCGACGAAATATTACGTGTTTTAAATCGACTTCAATTAATTGTATATATTATACGTTCAACAACCGTCACAATGTAACGTAAAAATGATAGAAGCGCGTTTATAGAGTACTGAACGCATTTATAATTGGTCATATTGCTTGTGTCCTAATAATGAGTGCTGAGTAAACAACTTAGGACTATTATCTACTGTATCTACCTCAAAATGGGTGCTTAGAGATTTAAGTACATGATCTGATAAAGGACGTTCATCCACATGGTTCCCACCAGGAGTATGCAGTAGGCCTGTAAATCATTTGGATACTGGGTATGAAGGAGGTGAACGGTTTCGACCTGCGTTCAATTACAGTAGACCTACGGGCTAGGATTTTTTACAATGGGGAGATTAATTTATATACATATCTGCTTCTTCTTCATTATGAGATTTGCTTTACAAATTGTATTAAAATTCAGGTAGATAAAGAATATAAAAAAAAGTAAATGCTTCTTAAACGATCAGATTATCACCTTAATAACTAAGTACACAAGCAAACTCCCGCACCCACCCCTACCACGACAAACAATACAAACCACCAAAAAATAAAAACAGAAGAAACAAGTACCGGTATATCATTAAATATATATATTAACAGAAAAACTAGTAAATATCTTTAAAGCTGATGCCAACTAAAAGTGCGTTAGGACCCTCAGAAAAACGGACATTACAGTTGCGCATACGTACACAAAGAAATAAAGTAATTGTGATCACGTGATAGGAGCACATAATAAACGAATGTGTGGTAATTGATGAGACCGCATGTTGGACAATAGATTACAAGAACATGTGTGGACCATGTGTTAATGTATCAGTATACAAGGCCAAACCCCTTGATTGAAATACGAGCGATTTAATAAATTCACTCTACACTGTATAGAAGGATTTATACATTTTTACACTACGGTTTTAAATATATCAGTTTTTAAAATATATATTGGAAATTTCACCTTATTACGAGATAAATTGTTTTGAGGTATTTTGTTTCACGTTCATAGTCCATGATTTACATGAAACAAAACCGTGTGAAGTTTCAAATTCAAGTGTTACTTTGTTTTATCAGTTGCTATTAAAAACACAACCGCCTATTAAACCATGATTAAACAAATAAAGAGGAAACGAAGGGAAAATGTCATATATGTATTCGATACTGTACTAGAAATCATGGATGATTGTGATGATTTAGGCCTTATATTTCTCTGGAGATGCCATGACGAAATGAAGTCATATAAAAATAAAACAACAATAGCAACAGTTGATTTTCCTTGAGATAAAGGAATTAAGGATGACTGACGTCTTCTTAAAATTAAAGATAACCGCCGCAACAAAACAATTTCCCACCATGTTATGTTACAAAATAAAAAGTGTAGCTTTGCTTATATAGGATATATTGGGATGATAGAGCTCGGTACGAATAAGGTTTTCACAGAATATTTTTACCAAAAATAAAATACAAAATAATATATATATGTAAATCTACGAGGACTCGAAGTTGATGAGGACGAGGATGATCAACTACCGTTCCCATTTTATATGGACTAATGCTAACTGCATAATGAACAGGAATATTATGTCCATCCGGAATTTAAAATAACACCTTGTTCATTTAGAGTTTAAAGACAGCATCAAACATCTTTAAAACCGTATTTAAAAGAATGAATTAAAGTTAGTAACTTTTAATGTCTGATATATTGTAGGCTATAAATTGAGTTTTCGTCACATGATTTACAGACCTTTTACTACTAATAATTTAATATTTAATTAATTACAATCCAATGGATTTAAGAACATTGTCAATTCCAATGGATTTAAGAACATTGTCAATTCCAACCCAATTTAAGAGATCAAGAATATATTAATATTAAGCCAATACTTATTAAGTTATAATAAGCGTTGGCCACACGTGGAGTGTTGCTCCTACTACTACCGGATGATCGACGTGTTCCTGCCGGATTTTTATGGTGTTTAGCTTACGAGGGTACAGTATAGGCTACTGGTGAACTTTCATTTTTTTAAATATCTGTATGCCTATGAAGGGTGGTTGTACCATGATTGGACTGTACCTGTTTTCACACTACAGTATATCCCATCGCCCGACCAAGGTCAAATGCATATTATGTAATAGTACACAGGATATACAGGTCGTGATAAGCCAACGTGTGTGACCAACGAGTTCAATAAGCCTGTATACATTTTATGTTAAAAAAGGGACTTCTTGTGATAGTAATAATATTGGTTGCATATACGTTTGTTATGCAGGTAGTATGTTCTGTGATGATATCGATAAATAAATAAAAGTTAATACAGTACTGATACCATTATTAGTCATATTTTATTTAACAATAGACGAGCATTATCGCACTCAACAATGGCTAGGTTTACAGCAGGTTAAGGATGTACCACAGACCATGCACAGACAACTGTGAATCATTGAGCTATATTAAACATTTTTTTTATTATTTTATTCAAAAAAAATTATATCTCGATGTGTGAAAGCTTGAATGCGCCATAACTTGGTTTTGTTTTTTTTTGTTTTTTTTTTGTATAAATCTGTAAATGTGTTGATATAGTACATTTAATGTTTTTAAGCATGCACTACCTTATAATGGTGTGTGCCACTGTTCAAACAGTGTAGATCCTTAAAATTTGATTTGATTTAATACTCAGATTCATTTTATGCATGTGAATACATAAAAAGAAATAAATAGGATTAGATGGACTGTGGACCAATTCAGTGCCGTTTGATAAATACCTAAAATTGGTCTTAAATATTCACTTTTTATTTCATTTGTCATGGAGGTATAATATATGATGTTTAAAACCTCTATATGATCAGATGGAATTCTAGTAAAAAAATAAAATGTGGAGATAAGAGAACCATATGAGAGTGTACCACCATAATTGGTGAAAACAAAACACCTGTGTTCCTGTCTTTTATCGGTAACGTCCTTGGGCGTGAATTTATACAAGGCTATACCGTATTAAGTGTGGGGTTCTTGTAAACTAAGAATGAAGTAGCATACGGTTCAATTTCTAGTACAAAAAGGGAATACAAAACAAAATCGCTATAAAACGCCATTTTGTTTATATTTTAGCTTCTAGATAATAATCTAGTGTAAGTGTAAAACCTAGTTGGTCAAATATTAAAGGGACCTATGTAGCACGGGGTACCGTTATCATGTGAGCCAAAGCGACCCAGGCCTAGCACACCGGCGAAAACAAAGGACCTTTGAAACAATGCGCGTTCCCTTGCCCGTTATCGCCACTGCCACAGATTTAACAAGCTCATTAGAGTACCCCTTAACTAGGCCTACTTAGAGCAGGCTGTTATGGTTATACTCACGTGTTAAACTTGGTTCGGTGGGTGATTTTTGAGTTCCTTCTGTGTAGGGGTAATGTCCCCATCTCCATGCAATCATCGTGATATGGTTAACCCGGACTTGACTTCAGCGTAATCATTCTAATTGCCTTTGCTTCCATCCACATGCAAGTTTTACAGAATCGGTTGCGTAAGATTACATAATACCTTTAAGCCCGTCTATTTAGAAATGAAAATGAGCTTCCATAATGTCTAATTGAGTCGGATGTCGATTAAGTACACGTATCAAGTTATATTGGCGAATACAGACCTATTTACGTAAACTAAAACCTGGGTGTTACAATTTCATTATCAAAACTGGCAAACTTAAAAAAGATAACGAATTAAAGAATTATTTAAATTAAAACAATTGTTTAATGTTTTCAAATAGGCCTAATGAGAACAATGATTTATTTTTAAGGCCAATTTTATTATTATTTTAGGTGTTTGTTGCTATAAATATTATAATGTATTGTTATTATTATTACTATTATTATTATTATTATTATTATTATTATTATCAATAAGTGTAATATTATTATATATTACTACTATTGTACTACACTTTTTTTTTTATAAGAACCAGTAAAATTTTGCCCAGGCTCAGTGTTCTTATTTTTTGGCTGATTTCAGGCTCAAAATGTTCTTATTTTGTTCTTAGTTTACACACCTTTTAAACAAAAAATTATTTAATTGTACGGCAGTATGCACTGTGCTGGAATGTAGGTGAAAGTGACCCCACAACAAATTTTCCCCAAATGTCAGATAGGTACACCTACTGTACTGTATTATAGAGGGTATTACAGTCACACCTACTGCACATAATGTACAGATATAACATTTTGGTTTTTAAAAATAATCCTCATTTGAAATTTTACGTCAGCCTCAATTTGTTCTTATTTTGTTCTTAATTTTTAAGCAACTTCAGCCTCAGTGTTCTTATAAATTGTGTTCTTATAAAAAAAAAAGTGTATTATACTGTGAAGAGTACGGTAGCAAGCACTTAGTGCTGTAGAAATACTAGTATTGAAATTGTAAATTTTTTTCTCAATAATACATTTTTTATCATTTCAGTTTGTATCTAAAATGAATAAACTTAATGTATTATTTGTAGTTACTGAACACAGCAAACTGTTCAAAATTTTCTTTTACAAACTCCGAGAAGCGATCTGCAAACCAATGTTACAATTAGTTAACCTCCTTAAATTACATAACGGTTCATTGAAGACGATTACTGTGCCCTTTACCTTTATTCGTGACTTTGTACACAAAGATAAACACAAAGAACATTGCATAGAGATAGCTTCTATAGGGGACCTATTATGGGGGACTTAGAATGGTAGAGAACTTCAAAACCGGTTACATGCAAACAAGGGAAGTTCGTACCTCTATTCAATCAAGAAGGCACTTTACATTAGGTCGGTATAGTATACTGTATGTACCTATGGTTCAATCATGAAGGTATATCAATTTACATTCTCCTATTTAGGGCCGTAACCAGGATTTTCATCATGTTGGTGCGGGGTGCAAAAATGGACCAAGATTCCTGGAGCATTTCTAATTCATGATCCATTTCTAATTATTACAGAAAATAACAATATATTGGGTAATTTTATGCCCGTCTTAAATTGTGAAACTTTTCCGATTTGGGAAGTAGGATACATACTTATTCATCGCTGGATACAGGCCTCAGGCCTGGGTGTTGTTTACATGAAATATATAAGACCTTTAAAAAAAATTCCGTTCACTATAATTTTCAGGCCATGCTACTCATCACGAATCATGTTGTAACAACCAAAAGCAGGTTCAATGATAGAACTATTTGACAATGCATCTTAAATATTGGGAACCAGAAACACAAGAGACCTCAATGGTTCAGCGCTCATAGGCTTACTATTAAAAATGTATGGCGAGCCGAATAGTTATTTAATCGCAAATATATATATAGGCCTATATATCTTAATTTTAAATAGAGACATATCTATTTTAATTAGAGATATCTCCGTTTTAAATAGAGATATCCCTATTACTAAACTAAGATACTGCTATTTAAAATAATTAGAGATATCTCTATAGATATCGTAGTTTTGCGATTAAATGAGAATTCGGTTCGACATAAAAAAAACTGATGATACTTGCTTTTAAAAGTCCGTTTGCAAGGACTTGAAAAACAAACCAATGATATTGGAATTACCCTCATTATGCAGAAATAAAAAAAAATATACTTATTCATTCTCTTATTAAATGACGTTTATTTTTCTTTTTTTTTTCTTTTTTGAATTGTACATGTGGATAATATTTCTTGATGGCTTTTGGAACCACATACTAGAATACACTTTTTTTAAATAAAAATATATGATAAAAAATTATTATGCTAGCAGTATATGACTGTGCTGTATTTATGTAGGGTATTATATAGGTAAAAGTATAGGCCTAATCTTTCTAAACATTAATACCGGTACTTTACTATAGGCCTATGTGACTAGCTTGCTTTGTTGGTTTTTGTAAATAAATAAATACAAATTTAAAAAAAATTAAAAATACACCCTCATTTAACATTTTACCTCAGCCTTAATTTTTTTTATAATTTTGATCTTCTTTTTAAGCAATGGTCAGCCTCAATGTGTTCTTATTAAAAAAAGTGTACTAAAATTTTACTCTACATGAGTACTTAAGTTTTTATGTATCTGCGTTAAATGTATCTTCTATTTGTAGACCTATCATTTGTCTATCAAGGGTTCACACAATATAAAGCCAACTAAAAAATATACTTGTTTGGGAACAATTTCTTTGTATTATAATTATTTACGTTGTTCATGATGTTAAAAAATACAATAGGTTCAAGCTTAGTGGGTATGTGTGAATTTATAGCCTATGCAATCTAATTTGTGCCTACTGATAGTCATGGCTCTCTGCCGTTTTGGATGGTATTTTTTTTTTGTTTTTTTTTTATGAATGTATTTTGTATGATTTTTAACGTACTTTTATTCTTTTTCGTTATTTTTTTCGTTCGATTTATTGTGTTTTAGTGTTTTTAAGTTTTTAAAATCTGATGTTTTGAATTTGTGATGTACTTTTGTATCGTATTTTTTTTATTATGAATGTATTTTAATGTATTTTGAAGAAAGTTTTTATCGATCGAGCAAACAATTTCTTCTTTTGGAGATAATAAAATGGTTCTGATTCTGATAAAGTAGCATCTAATTCAACGGGGATTCGTAGATTACTCACTGTAGAATTAAAAACATAATTTAAGCTAAACACATAACATAGCCAAACGTGGTTACCTTTAATAGAATGCAAAGTTAGAAGCGTTACAATTACATCTTGCAAACAACTTCAAAGTAATAACAACAATGTAAGAATTACGTTTTAGCACTGTATCATTCTGTCTCTTATACACATCTAGATGTGTATAAGAGACAAGTATATACCGGATTCATACAGGGCTAATCCACGTGCCTGTGAATGATTGTTTATATTCATATCGACGATGCTCCGAACATCAACGAAGTCAAAATTGGATGCTCGTATCTCTAATGCAGTTTTGTCGAACCAATAAACCACTTCACCTATTGGAATCAAAATGATCAAATTAAATATCCAAATAGATCTACAAAAATAAACTTTGATTTCTAGTGTGGAGTATACACATGATTTGTTATTAGTTGTTGGCAAACATTTTCCATAAATTCCATTGATTGGGACATTTTATTTTGCAATTCATTTGAAAAGAGGAAAACCATCTTTGAAATATTATTATTCACAAGAAATATTTATTAAATACCAGAATATTGATTGAACTTTACTTTTAAAAGTAAAATAAGATTTCTTGTGTTCTATAAAGGATAAAGCTTAAAGAAAATATACTTTGTTACACAGAATGGACCTTTCCGCTAAGCCCCGCCCCTTGGATATTGTTGCTAAGGTTCTACATTAATAACCCATACGGTACAAGTTAAAAAATATATTACAAGTATATTATAACAGAATGGTGGGTAGTTTAAGTAAATAATAAATGAATACCTATACTCGCCTACCTGTAAAATCAACGGTGACTGCTGTAACCAATCCACTTGCCGGGAAATCAGCAAGATCAGACACGCTTGACAACTTGAAACGCACAATGCGTTTACGATCGCCGAAGAAGCAAATACTACAAAAGAATACAGCAGAAATAGCTATAAGATAGATCAATGCTAGATCGTTATCTAAAGTGCTTAACAAATTATTATAGTTCACTGATAATGACTGTGTGATGTAGCCTGTCTCTTATACACATCTAGATGTGTATAAGAGACAGGAGTTTCCTCGGTATATATTATAGCTATGTAAGCCTACTATACAGTAAATCTATCTACAGTGCTTGTATTGGTCATATACCTGTTATTGTGTCCATTGTTGTTAAATCCGTTTTTGCAACCATTGATTACGTTGTTGCTTCCTCTACTGTCTCAGTTGTTACTACCAGTGAATTACCGGTAGTTGCATCCATTGTAAAAAGATATGAAACTGTCTCTTATACACATCTGCCTATTATATAGCAGGCGTCGAAACAAAAATTATACTTGTAAAACAAAGTGGTTTTACAAGTACATTAGGCCTATAACATACGATATAGGCCTGTTATATGATATTATGTCATGACTAATAAAATATAAATCTAATATATCATACACCATACCACAAATTATCGTATGATATATATCTGATATAACATCTATCATATTATATTATAGGCCTGTCATATCATATTATCATTTAATAATAATAATAATAATAATAATTGTGAACTTATATAGCGCATAATTTAAAATACCTCTATGCGTTTTACAGCAGGGAGTGGGATAAATTATTTAAATCTAATTAAAAAAGATAAATGAATATGAATTATATATATATATATATATATATATATATTATTATTATTAAACTTACTTATTTTAAGTTATGAATTAATTGATTAAATTAATGGTTAAATAGGCCCTATTTCTTTTCTTTTACCTTTCTATATTTCTTTTCTATTACCTTACTTACCATTCTCTTCCTTTTTTTCATGTCTTTTATTCCCTCTTCCTTCCTTTCTTTTCTTTCATTCCTACAACCTGTCTATCCTTTCCTTTACTTTCCTGTAATTTCTTTCTTTACCTCTCCTTTTTCTTCCAATTCCTTCTTTTAAATTTCTATTTCGAATACATTTTCCTTTTCTTGCATGCATTTTCTTTTTCTTTGCTTTTCACAATTTTATTCTTTCCTTTCCCTTTCTTTACCATTTAATGTTTTTTTCTTTTTCTTCTACCTTTCGATTTATTGCCTTTCTTTTTCGTTTCTAAATTTGTCATACCATATATAATATCATGTAATGTCATATCATATCATATACCTACAGCATATCATATATATAAGCTAAAGTACGTACCAAAATCGTGTACTAGATATTACATAATGCACTAAGATAATTTCACTTGTCACACTTTTATACATTATTTGATAGAGGTTTTGTCTCATATCAAAAGATTGTGACTCAAACAGTTTTGAATTTCATTTAGAGTATAATATTCAATTCAATCCCCTCATATTGAGTGTCAAATGTTTTCAAGTAATGATATTCAGTGAGTTTATATTGTATTTTGAATGTGAAATTTTATTTACAGTAAAATATAGACATAGATTTTCCTCAATAATAGGATGCTTCGATTGCACGACGACGGTAGGACCTCGAACGTAATGACGTCACATAAAGTCATATGTGCATGCGAGAACGAGAGTTCTCTTTGTCGTCTGGGTTTCTAGAACGCAGTTTGGCGCTGAATCTACGTTGTGCAGAAAACGTAGGACGGTAACGGATGAGTGAATCCGTTCTAAGGTCACGTCGTCGAGCAAATCTAAAGCGCATTAATATATCAAATGTTTTCTATACGTAACGCAACCTTGTTGAATGACCCCAGTTTCGGTGATATTTTGATCCAGTAGAGAACAGGACAATTTGTGTAGATGGTTGTATATTACAAAGCCATTGCAATCTGCAGTTAGCAAGCATTCAATGGCGCATTTTTTGGTACTTGTCACTTCAAAGCTATACACTGAACTGATTCGTTGTAATAGGCACATCTCTTGTTTTTCAGTGTCGAAGAACTTCGTAAAGTAACCTCGTGTAGCTAATATTATCGAACGTAAGTAAAAATAACAACTTATTGCTACAGAAATAATGGAATATTGCATTTGGCATGGGTATGACATACTGTATTCTTAAATTTTATTCTGGTTGTGTTAAGATTCAATTCAAAAACATGTTTAACGACGAAAATATGTCTTATCTACCCACTTGAGGGTGCTCAAAGGCCATTGCTTAATGTTCAAATTGTTAAAATGATACACTATTCAAATAGTTCTGACGACAGGCTTTGTCCAATAGGTGGGGAGAGGGAGATGTCCCTCACGGAAAGCTGAGTGTTCCCGACAGGAGCGAAAGGATGGATTTAGAAGTGACATGGGCATTTCTCATATTCCGAAAGATGACTTGATTTTATTAACCTACTAGAAAAACTTGTTAACTTATAACAACGCTTATACCATAGAGCAAAGAAACAGCTATGCTTAGACATAGGCTAGTTTCAAGCTACTGACAACACTTGTATGAATAACACATCAAATCAGCTTTCAATAAAAAGGAAATGAAGGATCTACCTTTGTGATATTTTGTAGATACACATATTATGCCTTTCTTACTTGTTAGATCTGAAAAAGAAAACAATTACGATAAGAAATAATAGTTTCCTGTGTATATACTGCTATTAAAGAATATGCCTACTATACGTCTACCTCGAGTGTTCATATTGGTTATGCTGGTGTCCGTTTTTGTGTCCGAGGTTACGTCGGTTGGTATATCCGACTTTTCAACCGTGGTTGTATACGTTGTTTCCGTTGTTGTTTCTATTGTTGCCAACACTGAGTTTTCAATTGTTTCATCCGTTTCTGTTTCCTTCGTTGTGACCGTTGTTTTTTCCGATACTGAATCTAAAAAGTACGGTTAATTTACTTATATGAATAAATATGTGTATATACATATTTATACAGAAATAATGAAACAAATTACTGTAATAAAAACGTCATTACATTTTTAAAAAACAAAATCGTGGTCCTTTAATAGAGTTTCGGTATAATTATAGCTATATAGGCCTACTATTATTATACTTGTACCTGGAGTGTTTGTATTGGCTATGAGGTCCGTTGTTGCGCCGGTTATATCCACTTTTGCAACCATTGATGCATACATTGTTGGTCCCGTTGTTGTTTCAGTTGTTGAGTTTTCAGTTGTTGCATCCATTGATGTGTTAATTGATTTATCCGATGTTGATTCTAAAAATTACAGTCAATTTATATATTATACACCTAAATGTAGGCCTATAGGCCTAGTACAGTATAATGTATATATAGAAATAATGAAACAAATTACTCTAAATCTAATAACAACGTCATCTACATCTCTAAAAAAAAACTTCCGAAATCGGTACCGAAGATATCGTCTGTTGCGAATACTACCACAACCACTTTTCCTCCCACATTGTGGTCCTTTATTAGAGTTTCCTCGGTATATATTATAGCTATGTAAGCCTACTATACAGTAAATCTATCTACAGTGCTTGTATTGGTCATATACCCGTTATTGTGTCCATTGTTGTTAAATCCGTTTTTGCAACCATTGATTACGTTGTTGCTTCCTCTACTGTCTCAGTTGTTACTACCAGTGAATTACCGGTAGTTGCATCCATTGTAAAAAGATATGAAATGCATGTACCATAATACTAACACACAGTCAGCAATTTTTACACATAGGCCCAAGTGGACTTACACTTTGCACAAAATCCCACGAGTTCTACTGTATGTAAACATTACTAAGGTCTAAAATTATTTTGTATATAGTATCTATTGTCAAGGTATATATGTAATGATGAGATGATAAATCAAACAGGATTGTCATTATATAGGAAAATCTGATTTGTCATCTATTAAACATAAGTAATCGACCTGTCGATCAGCCAATCAGTAATTACTGATTGATCAATATTGTTGATTTTGATTTTTGAAGCGATTTCGATGATTTGCTTGTTCATTCTTCTGTTTAACGGGGATACACAACCATACATTTATTTTCTTCTATGTGCACCTTGGCCATTTACAGTATTGCATTATGAAAGAATTGCCAAATAATTTGAATTGAACTGAATGCTGTTCCTTTGTCGCGGTCGTTATTTTATCCGATTTTGAATCTAAAAATTACGGTCAATTTATTTATTATTATACAATCCAATTTAGTTTATACAATAAGCCTCAGACAGGGATAAATATAGCCATTATCTTATGATAATGGCGGAATTTATGAACAAACGTCCGTTACATTTGTCATAATGGAGAATTTAAGAATAAATAAAAGAATTAAGAAAACGTACTGCTATAGTATATAAATAGTCCAGATGGGTTTTCAAATACCATGTCACTCACTGCATCTATATTGTAACCAGTGTCTTTGTCAGCTCGGAAAACAGCTGAATTTACGTTTATCCAGTATATACCGGATTCATACAGGGCTAATCCACGTGCCTGTGAATGATTGTTTATATTCATATCGACGATGCTCCGAACATCAACGAAGTCAAAATTGGATGCTCGTATCTCTAATGCAGTTTTGTCGAACCAATAAACCACTTCACCTATTGGAATCAAAATGATCAAATTAAATATCCAAATAGATCTACAAAAATAAACTTTGATTCCTAGTGTGGAGTATACACATGATTTGTTATTAGTTGTTGGCAAACATTTTCCATAAATTCCATTGATTGGGACATTTTATTTTGCAATTCATTTGAAAAGAGGAAAACCATCTTTGAAATATTATTATTCACAAGAAATATTTATTAAATACCAGAATATTGATTGAACTTTACTTTTAAAAGTAAAATAAGATTTCTTGTGTTCTATAAAGGATAAAGCTTAAAGAAAATATACTTTGTTACACAGAATGGACCTTTCCGCTAAGCCCCGCCCCTTGGATATTGTTGCTAAGGTTCTACATTAATAACCCATACGGTACAAGTTAAAAAAATATATTACAAGTATATTATAACAGAATGGTGGGTAGTTTAAGTAAATAATAAATGAATACCTATATTCGCCTACCTGTGAAATCAACGGTGACTGCTGTAACCAATCCACTTGCCGGGAAATCAGCAAGATCAGACACGCTTGACAACTTGAAACGCACAATGCGTTTACGATCGCCGAAGAAGCAAATACTACAAAAGAATACAGCAGAAATAGCTATAAGATAGATCAATGCTAGATCGTTATCTAAAGTGCTTAACAAATTATTATAGTTCACTGATAATGACTGTGTGATGTAGCTGAAACATGTCTGAAATGTTTTGAAAAATCCAAATTAATTAAGGTACTCACTCGTGTTGGGAGTTGACCACAATAGCTCTGGGGTCATTCAAATTCCCCAATATCATCACGGTATCAGACCCATCAAAATTTGATGAATAAATGGCTTTTTCTGACGTTTCCCCTATCCAGTAAATCTTCCGCTCAATTGTGTCTAGCGAGAGTGCACGAATATTCTCTAGGCTATCTAGGTCTAAAGAATAGTAAAGACATTAATTAGAAGCAGAAAAGTAGAAGAACCTTTTGGTGAATTTGTTTGTATAATTTCTTTTTATTGTGCAAAAATATATAAGCACACTCCAAACATGGGCCTTTAAAAATACATTCCATGTGTTTATAAATAATGAATGTGTACGTGCAGGAGAGGTAGTTTGCCCAAAACAAATTGCAACTATTTTTTTCACATAATTACCATAATAAAGTACACCTACATGATTGAGATTTGGTGGAATTTTTTCCAATTTGCATAAGCGGTTCCATTAGCTACAACTCTGTATCTAAGCATTCCATCATGACAAATTAAGTGTCTCACTCAATATAAGTAGTTACGGTATATCATTATGTGAAATATGCAAATTAGCTCCGGTCATTGCAACAACATTGATTATTGGTAAAAGCGTAGTATATCTATGATTTATTTTTGGGGGAAAAATGGTTAGACCCATGTTGGTGTTCCTATAATACATAATAACATAATTGTTATGTTCATTTCTGAAATTCATTCGCATTGGATCGGCCGTTTGGATGGATGTCCATATGAAAGGACGAGTCTGTGAATTGCTCTCAATTTCTCTTCTCTGGGCTGCCTGCTCTTTTGCGGTTCTCATGGTTGTAGGCTGAGAGGTTGCTCCTGGACCTTTCTCCCATGAGAAAATAAAAGATGAAAATGTATAAGTATAAGTATAAGAGACTCGTTGCGTATTAGGTGTACTCTAGTTGAGAACCCGAATTCGAAACATACGGACTTGCCACTGATAAGTACTCTACCTCTTATATTGTTATTTTTGCTATTATAGCCTAATTGGAATATTACAACTGTTTGGTATCACAAAGAATAAATGAGTCTCAGTCGAATGAGAAACGCTGTGGAACCAACTGGTAGACTCGGGGTTAACGGAATATCACCATTATCCCAGTTTTTTGAGCGAAAGAAATTTACAAAAATTAATAGAAAAATGGTAAAATATTAAAGAATTTACAAAATTAATACGGTACCGTAGCTATTAACCAACACACCGTCATCTTCTCCTTTACACATTGAAATATATCCGTAATTAATCTGTTACCTTTTGAACATGAAGCTTGGTAAAACTGCCCGTTACTGTAGCGGTTAAATGACACACAAAAAATGTCCAAAAGACAATTATAAAAAATATAAATGTCTATGGAGATATACGATACCTGGCATGTCTTATATTTATAATATGGAAAATTGATTTTCATTTTGAATAAAGTAAACTACCAATTAATTTAATCAATATAAATTGTTTAATTTTTTTTAACGTGGGAATCGTTAACACTGAAATATAAAATCAGGTCGATATATATTTGATTATGGTTCCACGATATAATTTAATCATATTCTAGGCATGACAAACTGATCACGCCCTGTATGGTAAGAGTAAGTTCATGATTTAGAAAGTACAGCATGGTCTTACAAGGTGTAAATTTTGACCTGCTCCTTTTAAATATTTTATAAAGTGTCAACGTTTAAGGTATGCAAAAACAGCTAAATTACTTGAATTAAAATATTGAATTTTATTTGTTTGAATGTATGATGTATCAGCTTATCAAATGAGTACAGCACCGTAAGCTTTTTCTTGTACGCGCCGAGTGATCAACAACGGTTTTTAATGTAGGCCTGTTGTATGCGCTTTTTGTATATTAATTACTTTATAAAATTGGGGGTTCGCTAAGTCAAAGGGGGGGGGGGGGGGGGGGTCCGCGAAGAATTTGGGTTCAGATTTTTAGACCAATTTTTCATGATTCCATTATTTGTCTTGTCTTACAACAGCGTGATTATGATAAACATAGACCGCTAATCATTTGGTGCCTTATAAATTGAAATACATTTGACATAGGCATAGACTTTGTTTACTGTAAATTGTTTTAACTAGCATTATATTTTAATTCCACTATTTTAATTCTGATCTGTTACAATATTTTATTTTTATGATGCTTTGTGTAAAGATGTTTAGTGTTAGAGGCACAAATCAGGTACTGAACATCTTGTTTATATATTTTTGTTTGTAAATATTGGTCTAGATTGGGTTCCATTCCCAAAACTTTGTCTTAATCACTGAAAATGCTCAAAATTAAATCTATTTTGGCACCAATGGCGTTTCATATTACCTATTTGCATGGCGTTCCATAGTACACTTTTTCTTAGCGTATCCAATTGCAACAACATAATTATAAAAAAAAAGTTTCTCGATACACCAAACGTTAGTGGCGCTCTTGGAAAAGTTTCTTAACATCAAGAAAAACCAATTAGAAACTTGTGGCAAGTCTAATATTGCTCTTACCTACCTGGATGTTGAATATATATTTTTTTTAATCAAGTGGCCCTTAATTTTACGAAATTAAAAATAAATTGGGGATAAAAGAAAATTACATTCAAATTTTGAGTCTGAAAGTGCCATTTCATGCCATCTAGAAATGCCATCGATCTTAGCCCCAACCATGTGAGACTGAGGTTATCGGCCATCTATCTGTAAAATTGACTTTCTGACCCCTCTTTATTTCGAATTCCAATATCCGCCACTGTTTAATGTTGCTTCTATTTCGTTTCTAGCTATAATCTTGGTGGAATATCAACCATGATTCGCTCTAAGTTTCACAAAAAATAAACAATAAATGTGGGATAAAAGGAAATTACATTCAAATTTTTAGACATAAAAAGTTCAACCATGGTGTGACTGAGGTGATTTCAAAATCCAGTATCCGTCACTGTTTAATGTTGCACTTTGGTGGCGAATCATTCTCTACTGTCTCTTATAC